CGTCTTTTCTCTTCAACACTTTAAAGAGGTCTTGTGCAGCAGATTTGCCCAATGTAATACATTGTTTGATTTCTTGACTGCTGCTTCTATGAGTGTTAATGGTTGATCTGAGCAAACTGAAGTTTTAGATAACTTCAACCTCTTCTCCATTGATGTGGGTGTTGTTTATTGGTCCAGTAGTGAGGATTTTTGTATTCTTTACATTGAGATGCAAACCATACCGAAGACTGTGGTCTTTGTTCTTCATCAGTAAGTATTTTAAGTCCTCTCAGCTTTCAGTAAGTAAGGTTGTATCATCTGCATATTGCAGATTGTTAATGAGTCTTCCTCCAATCCTGATGCCATGTTTTTCTTCAGTCAATCAAGCTTCTTAGATTATTTGCTCAGCATACAGATTGGATAAGTATGGTGAAAGAATATAACCTTGGCACACACCTTTCCTAATTTTAAACCATTTAGTGTTCCCTTGTTCTGTTTGAACAACTGCATCTTGCTCTATGTACAGGCTCCTCATGAGCACAATTAAGTGTTTCGGAATACTCAAACTTTGCAATATTGTCCATAGCTTGTCATGATCCACACTATCGAAAGCTTTTGTGCAGTCACCAAAGCCCAGGTAAACATCTTTCTGGTATTCTTTGCTTCAGCTAAGATTTATCTGATGTCAGCAGTGATATCCCTTGTTCCACATCCTCTTCTGAATCTGGCTTGAACCTCTGGAAGTTCTCTGTCAATATATGGTTGCAGCTGTTTTTGCATTATCTTTAGTAAAACTTTATTTGCATGGGAGATCAGTGATGTCTGATGATTACTGCCTTCCATTGGGTCACCTGTGTTTGGAATGGGCACAAGTACACATCTCTTCCATTAACTTGGACAGGTAGTTGTCTTTCAAATATCTTGCCATAGATGAGTGAGTACTTCCAGTACCTCATCAGTTAGTTGAAAGATTTCAGTTTGTAGTCCATCAATTCCTGGTGCCTTGTTCTTTGCCAGTGACTTCAGTGCACTTGTCCTTCAGGATCATTGGCTCTTGATTATATGCTATCTCTTGAAATGGTTAAATATCCACCGTTGCTTTTTGGTACAGTGATTGTGTATTCCTTCCATCTTCTTTTGATGCATTCTGGTCGCTATGTGTTTGAACCAACTCCATTGTATAC